TGAGGGTTCAGGGTTTAGGGTTTAAATGAGCCATAATCTAAACTCCTTAAAGGGGGTTATATAGGGGATTATATGTGGGACTACTATAGGGGTCATTAAGGGGGATACTAGGAGTTTAGACTATAGCTCAAATGGGGTTTAGGGTTTAAAGCTGCGTGAAGATCCACGCATAGTCACAAGTGGGGGTAGAAGTAGTACCCTAACTTAGCTTCTAACTACAGGCATCCTAATCATACTCCCAAGTACAAGTACCCATGAACCTTCATGTACCCCTGGCCGCAGCCGCACAAGCCCGCCCCCAAGAAGAAGAAGGCGGCTGAGATCTCAGCATGTGAGTCATGCAGGATTTCCTGTGGTTTAGTCTTCTTAACCCTAAGCCCTAAACCCTGGGCTTCTGCAGTAATGTGAAAGGTTGGCTTTTAAGGCCTAGGGTTATGGGATCTTAGGGTGGCTCTTCGTCCTGGCGTCCCTACGGGCCTAGTGTATTTTCCCCATATCTACCTTTGAGCGCCACTAAATCCTCCTGAAAAGGCTGAGGGCCCATGGTAAGCACCCAAAACCTTATACCCTCAACCCTAAACCCTAAATCGTAAAGTATTTTTTCGGCCATGATTTCAGTTATTTCGGCGATTTGGGTGTTTGGATGCATGAAAGCTAGTATTTTAGAATATGTTATAGCCCTACCTGTAACGTAATGTCTTCTGCCTCCACAACTGGGCTTCTATGGGCATAGTGAGTTACATGCGGGCGTATAATTTGTCGTTGTATTGAGTTGCTCAAGTTCCCTAAACCCTACCTAGACCCTGATACCGTACCCCATTTTAGGCTGCGTAGTGAGGAAACATTGGACATAAAGAAGGGGACCTCCGAAACAGGGCAAAGTACAAGGGTCTAGGAAATCCCTGATCCTTGCTACTAGATCCCATGAACCTGTAACCATTTCATTAAAAGAGCTCTGATTCCTCTGATCTACTGCGCCCCTCCCCTGTCTTGAGTTCAAAAGCTTCAGGGCCTTGAGAGTGTGTGGTTCAGTGTTTGGCGGGGTAGGGCATCGAATGCTGCAGGTGGTGTCAGGTTCACCCTGACGCCCTGAAGACCTGAGTTGCTTTTTCTCATGCAGCGGGAGTATTGTAGAAGCCTGAATAGTTTTGGAATCTTGTCGCTGTATACTCTCAATATGCTTGAAGTATAATTTTGCCCAAGCCCTTGTCCTGATTATTGAGACTTGTATACTATATGTGCCCAGCCTTTTCCCTTAGCATCTTGGATAGGGCTGTGTACGTGTTTCTCAGAAAAGCGGCCACCTGGTGACCCAGGGATGTATGGGATCATGGGGACTATCGGGGTCGCCCTTAGCGCTTCTATATAGAGATTCAGAACTTCAGAAATTTCCATGTAGGGGAATCTCCAAGGCCGCCGCAAGGAATATGGATTTTTCGCGATACCTGGGGAGCTGTTCAAGAAAGCCTCAACCTACTTGGGGAAAGCGAGCTTACAATCGGATACTATCCTTTAGCTGACAACTTTTGTTTTAACAAATGTCCATAGTTATCCCCATCATTCATCATAATTCCCCCCAAACTCTCAAGCCAAAATCCTAAACTCTAAACCTTAAATCCTAAACTCTAAATCCTAAACTCTAATTAAATCAAAACCCCAAACCTTAAACCTTAGGTCCTAAACCCAGCCCCTAAACTGCCAATCCTGAGCCCCGAGCCCCTGATCATAATTCCTATAGCTAGGGTGCTAAAGGCTCCTTCTTGAGGGAACCAGGGAATAACGCAATCAACGACATCCCCCATGCTTCCCATGAAAGTTTGCAGGGGTTTCGGGTTTGGGGCTTTGGGGTTTAGGGCTTAGGGCTTCCTAAGCCCTAACCCTGACCCCTAATTCCACCAAATCCGAGGCCCCAAGCCCCGAATCCTAAACCTAAGCCATACATCCTAGGCCGCAATTCCTTAGAACCCTAAATCATAAATTGTCTACAGCCTTTCGTTCTCTTAAGGGTCTCAGGACTCAAGTAACAGTGCATTAGGTCCCAAATGCCAAAAGCTGAAAGGTTTTCGGGACTTAGACCTTTATATTTGAGCATTTGGAGCCGTAACCCCCATACCTTTCAGGGCCCTAACATTTGACTCCTCGGACCCTTGGGGCCCCTAGGGTGCCCCAAGGTGAACCCTAAACCCTAACCAAGATCCTAAACCCTACCCCCTAAACCCCAAATCCTAAATCCTAAACCCTAACCAAAATCCTAAACCCTACCCCCTAAACCCCAAATCCTAAATCCTAAAGACCCAAGGTGAAAGCTGAGGGAGCAGAGGAGGAGCTGGAGGAGTTCAAGAAGCCCCCCCTGGCGGTGGTCTCGACACATTTTTGGGGTTAAGGGTGTAGGGATTAGGGTTTAGGGTTTATGGTTTAGGGTTTAGGGATTAGGGTTCTGGGTTGCAAGTTTAATCATCACTCAAGGGATCCAAGTATACAAATAGTACCTACATTGGGCCCTAAAGTCTCCCTAAAATTCCAAGGACCCAAATGATAGGGTTTTAGGGCTGGTGTTTGCGCCCTAAGACCATATTATTTAGGTCCTTGGACCCTTAGGGTCTGTAGATATCACCTGCATTGGGCTATTTGGATTCCTAGGTTCAGCTTCAGGTTTACAAGGCTCAGGGTTTTCAGGGTTCCCCTGGCGGTGGTCCTGACACATTTGGGGGATTCCAAAGAATGAGGGGTTCCTTTTTGTTGACGGGCGGGCTCCCTCCAGTAAGGATAGGGCTTAAGCTGTGGTGACCCACCCCCAATACCCTACCCGTTTTTTCCGGATACCTAACTGTGCATCTAGCGTGTCCTTTGTACAAAATTAGGTATTAGCGTTTATAGATCTACCGTAGGTGAAGAGATCTATGCAAAAATGATGTCGGGAAGTTTTAAAGCACCGCTCAGATCAGTTCCAAGTTTCAAGTCTAGGGTGCAGGTTTTAGTGCCGAGGTTTGAGGATGACCTAGAGTGTTATACCTTAGGAGGACCCCCCACCCTGTAATAGTGGTATTCTAGGAATATAAGAGGACCCTAATATAGTCCTTAGTATCCCGTATAGTTACTTTTACAGGGTGGGGGATCCACCTAGGTTATGCCACAGCCCTTTTTCGGGTGGCCTAGTCTTGTATACAGAGAATACTGAACATTTTCAGGAGAAGGTGTACGGCACAAGGATCTAGGTAGGTTTGAGAGAGTCCAGCTGCCGTGATTTTGGGGTTCACCGTGTGGCGTCCTCTAGGCCTCGAAAGAGTACCGTGATTACTCAAATGATCTTCTAGCATCTAGATCCATAACCTATTGTATTGTCAAGCCAGGTGTTCATCCGTCTCATCCCTAGTATGACGCCACCAAACCGTGAACCCAAAACATCCCTAAATCCTAAACGCTCGTATGATGCCCCAACCTCAGCCACCCTCAGGGTAGCCATGGCCGGTTCACAAAGAGGTTGATATGCGTGCACGAGAGCTGCCGCGGATTACCCCAATTTAGCTACCATATAACTCAGATGTTCCCTTAGGGGTTTCCAGAATCCGCCTTTGTAGTAACCCTAAACCCATTGGTACAACCATAGGAGGAAAACTCTTGACGCTGTCCCTAAACCCTAAACCTTGAATTGAATTGTCATCCTTTTCGCACATGCCTGATCGACGGTTCTTGTTGAATTCCACCCTCCGGAAGTTGTCGCAGATGTGCCCAAACACTATAACATGAATGGTATTTGGGACCTAAAACCCTATTATTTGGGTCCTTGGACCCTTAGAAGGTTTGAATGTTTTGGGTGTACTGCACCCGCCAATGATTGAAAAGTATGAGCATGGGCCTGAATGGAAATTTCCTGTTTTCAGTCAAGACCAGTTGCCGCCAACAGAGCATTCATTCTCAGCGATTTACTTTGTCCTCAGCTTGATGCAAGCCCAGCTGCAAGCGTTTTAGCCATGGGTTTAGGACTCTTTCAATCGGATTCCCCAACAGACCTATACCCTCCACCTACCCGCTATTAGGCCTACGTACCCACAATTAGGCGTCACATTTTTAGGAGGACCCACCACCGTGCAGTGGTGGTAGAATAGGGATATAAGAGGACACTTATAGTCACCATTCCCACCTAAATTCTATACCCAATTACTGGTACTAGGAAAGTCTTGTGAGTCCCGAGTCCTTAGTGGGAACCGCATTATCTTCCTGCAGCCCGTACACATCCCCAGGGTTGCTGACCATGATGAGGGTTTAGGGTTTAAGGTTTAGGGTATAGGGTTTTAGGGTTTAGGGTTTATATGAGCTATAGTTTAAATTCCTTAGAAGAGGGTTAGATATATTGGGGAGCAATATAGGGGGTTCTTATGGGGGATACTTGGAGTTTGGACTATAGCTCATATGCCTCAGGCCTGTCCTGTTACCCTAAATGGTATGCAGGGTTTAGGGGAATGCTACTTGGAGGTTCGCTCGACTTGGTAACTAACACAACTTTACCTAGAAATCACCCCCCTCCCCTTTATGCTTGTTACCCCAACAACAAGTAGGTTACATCTCCCGTGCTGGAAATTTGTATCTGCCTTGAGTCTTGAGTACACCTCAGACCCTGAACCCTAAACCCGGAGAAGGACTTGAGAAGTTTTAAAGGCTAAGCCAGGATGTTTCATATGTTTCTTAGCTTGATGAGTCTGAGGCTCTACTTGGACGTTCAGCGTAAGTTGTCATAGGCCAAGTATGACTGGTAAACCTTAACATAAACCCAAAGCCCTAAACTCGATGCCTCTACCCGCCACACCCTCAGCCCTAAACAGGAAGCCCTTCACGGGTCCAAGGACTCAACTAATCCGGCGTTGAGTCCCAAATTCCATTATCTCACTGATCTCTGTGATCTGAATCCCCAATATTTGGGCCCTTGGGCCCTTAGGAGCCCTCAACCCCAACCTTAAACCCTAAATCCTAAACCTTAAACCCCAACTCTTGGGGCATGCCAGGCCATGTTGAACTCCTTCGACTTCGAGTCCGTGGCCCGCGAGGTGCGAGCTTCTAGCTGCTTGTAGCTCGCGGCAAGGTTCCCGGTTTTTGGGTTTGGGGTTTATAGGGGTATTATCCCCCGATGATGGGGAAGAAACGGAAAAACAGGATGGAACGAAGAATGGCAAGTGAGGTTATATAGGGTTTGATATGAGCTTACGAGTTGGGGATATTATCCCACAGCAGTGGATCATCAAATGGAAAAGAACACTGAACGTGAAATGGAAGCTGGGCTTAGGCAGGGGTTTAGATTAATAGGAGCTACTGTCAATATCAGGCTTACCATGGGAGCATTCAGGGCAAGCATAGGCGTCTCTGCGGTAGTTTTCCTAGAGTCCTTAGTATGTTCCCTACTAAAGGCCCATGTCCATTAACTACAGAAGGAAGTATCGGCTGTAGCTCATACGGCTGTTTGAGCTAGGGTTGGGGGTTTAGGGGTGAGGGCTCCAGGATGCGGATTGAGGGTCTAGGGTTCAGGGTCTAGGATTTAGCTCTGAGGGTTTATGGTGTAGGATTTAACAAGAAAGTACCTACATGCATATGTACATATACATGCCTTTATGCAGGCATGCATGCAATACGTATGTATTTACATACTCACATACAGTTGGGGGTTTAAGGATTAGGTTTACCTAGCCCTCCCAACTACCTTTCATGCTTCAAATGAGAGCCTAAGACGCCTGCTGAAACGTGCTTCGTTAGGGTTTAGGGTTTAAGGTTTAAGGGCTTAGGGTTTAGGACTGTATAGATTCCATATGATGGCGGGGACAGAGGTTGACAGTGATTGCAGCAATTACATAAGGATATGAGGGTATGGGGCTTTGGCGAAGATCTACCTTTTTTTCTGGATTGCTGTCAAGGAGTTTAAGTTCAGCGGCCATACTGTGGACATATACTAATACCAGGGTTGAAGCCTAAACCCTAACCCCAAAAGCCTAAGCCCTGAACCCCAACCACCGTGCACGTCTCTGAACAGCAACCCCACACTCAAAACCCCTAAACCCCAGACCCAAAAACCCTAAACCCTAAA